CTGTATGTAAGTCAGAACTGGCGGTCAGTTTCAGCAGTGGCTGAATCTGGACGCCAGTTCCGACTTACATACAGATTCAACTTAAGAACAAACCTACAGTCCCTATCTTGTACGTAACCCGGGGACTGCCTGTACTACTATTACTATCTGAAACTGGTTATCCATCCAGTTATGCACCTACCTTATAGTAGCCCCATCCAGGTTGTATTTCCCTAGTTTATTGATAAGAAGGTCATGTGAAACGATTTCAAATGCTTCACTAAAGTCTAGGTATGTCGCATCTACTGCTTCCCCCTTATCCACAAAACTTGTTATCCTGTCGATTAATGGTTATCAGAATCGTTTAAATAGTAGCTCAGAGTTACAAACACCAGAGTTACAAAGTGACCATTCACACACTTCACATGGAACCAATCAAGTACACAATCAAGCAGAAACTGACTCCCTCCTGTCCCCAATAAAAAAGCAAATACAATACAGTATTGTGTTAAATGTAAATGTCTTGTGGGGGGGGGAAAGGGAAAAGCATTTTTCTTCTGCATAGTAAAGTTTCAGATCTCTTAATGTTTCATTGTAAACTTTTGAAAGAGCGCAACCGTAATGTTTAGTTCAGAGTTACAAACATTTCAGTTAGAAACCGCCTCTTTTCCTTGGGGGTTCATAACTCTAAGGTTCTACTTAATGCTGTTTCCTGAGGGACTCTAGAGGTAGAGCCTGCTAGGTTGAGCCCAGGGTCCAATCTTACTGTTTGCCCATTTTTACCAGAGGGGTCAGCAACAAGACAACTAGAAATCTGGTAAAGTGAAAAAATGACAATCAAAATAAAGTGGAAATACAACATTTTTAAATGAGGATGAAAGCATGTTTTGCAAATAGTGAGCCCAGCTAAACGAAAAGATTTAAGCACCACTAAATCTCCCCCAGAAGCTTAAATTGACCATTTAGAGGATATCCTCCTTAAGCAAACTTTCTAATCAAGAATGTCCTAAGTGGCATATGCACTGTACTAATTCATCTTGCCTTGCTTGGAGATTTCGCTGGCATGTATTAGCAGATAGGAAACTAAATTAAAGGAATTTTAAACATGCAAAGCAGAACTCTTCACCTTACTTTAGCAAGGACAGTGCGGAGGCAGGGAGAAGAACATGGGAAATACAGAGCCTGATTTACTGTAAAAACTTTGCTCTCTCTTTACAGTCCTGTTCAGATTCAGTGCCTTATGAAGAGGCTTTGGCCAATCGCAGAATTCTTCTGAGTTCGGCAGAAAATAGAGAGAGTCTTGCACAACAGGTATTCTTATGTATATTTTGAAAAATGTGTGTGAATGCACATTGTTTTTATTAGAAAAAAGTGTTCTGTCCAAAGGTCAAAGAGAGTAACTCCAAGGTAGTGAAAGTTATAAAGCTCTAGAATTTCAAGTTGGTATCTGTGAACACTGATGGATTATACTTAGTTTACCATTCCAAATTGCAAGCTGATCTATAAAATGTGTTGTTAGGGAGAACTTGTCTTGAGCCATCTTCATTTGAATGTCTAGTTATGTTTCTGTAATAGCAAAATTAATCATACCCTCTTAGTGAAGCGAAGTGTGGAATATAGATTTGGGATGGAGAAGGGAAATTTATTTGATTTGAGCCTACCACAATCTATAAAGATAAAAACTGTGCCCAGTCACTAAACTGAGGCTACGTCTAGACTTCGTGCTTTTTTTCGAAAAGCTTTTTCGAAAGATTCTTTCAAAAAAGCTTCTTTCGAAAAAACGCGTCTAGATTGCATTACGCGGATTGAAAAAGTGATCTGCTTTTTCGAAAGAGAGCATCCAGACTGCGTGGACGCTCTTTCAAAAAGCAAAGGCACTCGGAACCGCTTCTGACAGGGAATGGGGGCAGCATTTACTTCCTGGTGCTGCTGCATGCCCTTTGCAGAGACGCGTGCTTAAAGGGTCCACCCGGACAGCTGTTGCTCTGCTGCTGCTTCTGGCTTGCCTACCTCCTAGAGGGACAGCAAAGCTGCTGCAGTGCTTGCTCTAGTTGCCCTCCTTTCTGGGACACCACAGCAGTTTGCTTTTTGGTTGGTTTTTCTGCTTTTTTTTGTTGTCGGGTTTTTTTGGGCCATGGAGCCAGAGCTGCCCCTGGGCAGGCGATGGCCCCACACAGCCATGCTGCAGCTTCTGCTGCAGTTTCATGACACCGTCATGATGCTCCTGCCCCATATGGACCCGGACCAGAGCTACGAAACATTTGTCTGGGATGCAGAAGCAAGGCCTTTGCCTCCGAAATTTTTCGGGACAGGCGGTTTTGGAGCATGAAACGAGTTCGGACTGGTGGAACTGGCTCGTCATGGAGCTCTGGGACAACGAGCAGTGGCTCCGCAACTTGCAGATGCGGAAGCCCACATTGCAGGAGCTATGTGCCTGACTCGCCCATGCTCTACAGCACCAGGACACCCACCTGCGGCCCGCCATCCCCCTGCAGAAGCGGGTCATTATTGCCCTCTGGAAGCTGGCCACCTCCGACAGCTACTGCTCTGTGGGACACCAGTTTGGCACGGGGAGGTCTACCGTCGGGGCTGTTTTGATGGAGGTAAGTCACTTTTGGGGGACAGGCCCTGCTGAGTGGGGGGCTGAAAAAGGGGGACTGCTAAGCAATGGCAAGGAGAGAGTGGGGGATGGAGTGGCAGTGGGAGGCAGCTCCTCGGCCAACCCTGCGCTGATGCGGGGAGGGGTGGAGAGAGGGGGGGATGGAGGGGCAGTGGGAGGCAGCTCTTCGGCCAACCATGGACTGATGTAGGGGAGGGGGGCATCCTGACAAGGGGAATGCTGGGGTGGGTGGAGGGATGGGAGGGTTCTCCTCCCAAGGTCTTAGGTACCATGTCTAAATCTCTGGATTCTGTCTGTCTATGTCTCTTTCTGCAGGTGGCGAGGGCCATCAATTTGGAGCTGCTGAAGAGGCTCTTCCGTCTGGGAGACCTGGATACCCGTCGTTGCTGGCTTTGCTGGGCTTGGCTTCCATAACTGCGGAGGAGCCCTCGATGGGACACACATCCCAATCCACACACCGCCTCATCGAGCAGCCCAATTTATTAATCACAAGGGCTACTTTTATATGGTGCTACAGGCGCTGGTCGACCACTGGGGACAGTTTATGGACATTTGTGTCAGGGGGTCAGAGTGGGCACATGATGCCCGCATCTTCTGCAACTCGTACCTGTACCCCACGTGGTAGGCAGGAACATTTTTCCTACAGTGGGATCTTGCGCTTGGGGACATGCGGATGCCGGTGTGCATTGTGGCCGACGCACTGATGCCATGGCTTATGAAGCCTATACCGACCACCTGGATGCGAGCAAGGAGCTGTTTAACACATGTCTTAGCCAGGCTCGCATGCAGGTGGAATGCACATTCGGCCGCTTGAAAGGCAGGTTTTATTGCCTCCTCACATGGCTGGAGATGGGCGAACGCAACATCCCCAAGGTAGTGGCTGCATGTTGTGTGCTCCATAACCTTGTGGAGAGAAAAGGGAAGGCCTTCCTTCCGGTGTGGGGGACTGATGCTGATGGTGAGGGGAGGCAATTCGAGCAGCTCCAGACAGTTGCCATCCGCCAGGCTCACCAGTTCAATCTTCGCATCCGGGAGGCCCTGAGTGTGAGATTCTCTGAAGGAGCCCACTGACTTTCCCCAGGACCTCCCCCATGGGGGGTTTGGTCTGGTCCACCCTACCTTTCCCTTCACAACCTTCACCCTGACCTTCTTTCCATAACAAATATATAAACACCCAGTTTTCTTTGTAAACAGAAATTGTTTTTGTTATTAGAAACAGTATCTGTAAGGAAAATGTGCTAACTGTTTTAAAAAAAAAAAATCTCTTGTTACTGTTCACATGTTTATATACAAGCTAAATCTTTCACTCATAAATATTTTGTTAAATAACTGAAATGTTCTTTTACTGATCTGGAGGGGGGAGGGGGGCTGAAAACCTGGAGTGGGGAGGAGGGCTCAAGTAGGGCTGCTGCTTTCCTGATCCTCAGGGTCCTGCCACCTTGCTTCCTGGCACCATCATGGCCTTGGGATCGGGTGGAGTGAGAAACAGTTGTGTGCTGGAAAGGAGGGTGGTGGGGCAGGGCATGCAGGAGGAATGGTGCCTGTGACAGGGGCAGGCCAGGCTATGTCCTCCTGCATAGTGGCACAGATTGAAATGCGCTGCTGGACGAGCTTATCCAGCAGCCTGTTGTGCCAATCGGCCTCTCCCTCTGTCCTCTGCTGAAGGGTCCTGTTGAGGTCCTGCAGGGCCACTACGTGCTCTTTCAGCAGGTCTGTGTAGACACGCCAGTGCCTGCGGGTGCCACGTATCCGGGATGGTGGTGGGGCAGGTGTGGTGCTACTCCCTTGCATGGGGGGTCCAGCTGTGGAGGAGAAGAGGAAGAGACAATCATGTATGTGTGCACCCACTGTCCCCGAGGGCATGCTGTCGCTGTCAGGGGCTCTCCTTTGGACAGGAGACTCAGAGGTTACACATATGACACCGTGTGTGAGCTGGGCAGCAGTCTGAGCATCACAGGGGCCCCACAGTGGCAATGGGAAGAGATGGCCCCCTCACTGCCAACCCTCCCGTGTGTGGTGACCCCTCAAAGCAGTGACCTGATGTTCCCTCCCCGATGTCCGAGGACACCTGGGAGGCTTCTAGGGTCTGGAGGACTGGCTCCTGGTCTCCTAGGGTGGCTGCTGTCTCTACCTCCTCCTGGTGTACCTCTCCTGTCCCACCTTCTTGCTTGTCCTCCCTCAGGGGTTGGTCCGCAATATGGAGGGGTAACCACAACTCCACAAGACGCAGCAGAGTCTGGGCTTCCCCACTACCCGGAATCTGCTCCAGGTCTGCATAATATGAGCAGCTGTGTGAGGCTGCTCCAGAGCAGGAGCGCTGGTCTTGGGCCTTTGCATACCCCTGCCGCAGTTCTTTTACCTTGGCCCTCACTTGGTCCATGATGTGGGGGTGATGCCCTTTCTTGGCCAGTCCCTGGGCCATGTGCTTATATATGTTTGCGTTCCTGTGGCACAACTGCAGGGCCTGCAGGGGTTCCTCCTGAGACCAGAGCTCCAGGAGATTTTTTTATTTCAGGCCCTGACCAGGCTGGTGCCTGCCTTTTGGTGCCCCTGGATGGGTCCTCTTCACTCTACCGAGAAGGGCCAGGGGAGGCCTTGAACCTAGGACATGGCTAGCACGACTGACATGGGTGCTGTGGCTGGCTTCCTGACAGCAATGCCTGTTTGGGAGCCTGTGCCTTTAAGAGACTGCAGACAGGAACAATAGAAGTGCCAAGCATGTAGATGGACTGTCCACCAGGGCTTCTTCCTGGAGGCTCTTTTTTTTTTTGTTTTGTTTTTCAGCAGAACTGGCTCCCCGGCATCCACACACACCTATTTTCGACAGATCTCTGTCAAAAAAGGCGTTATTCTTCGTAAAACGAGGTTTACCACAGTTGACAAAACTGCTGTGTTTTTGATTTACTGTCACCAGAACATGGCGGCAGTCTAGACGCAGGGGAACTTTTTTTTCCAAAAAAAGGCCACTTAAAAAAAAAAAAAGCCTGCAGTCTAGACATACCCTGAGGCACTTCTAAGAAGGAAGAACTGATAAAACAACCTAATTATGAGTGACGTGAATTTACATGTTTAACTAGAATGTTATCAGCACACCACTAAATGTTCAAACCCATTTGACAAAGCAAATAAAGGGTTGTACAATACTGTGATTCAGGATGAATGTCATTCCTCACAATGATATACTTCATTTTTAATGCAAAAAATTATCAAAGGGGTTGTTAATTTATAAAACAAAAGGCCCTCTTCAATTTGGGACTTCAAATTAGACTGTAGATTTCCCATTTGTTCCCTTTACAGTAAAAACTAGCTTTCTGTATTATAAGCAAACAATAATATCCTGAAATAACTGAGTTTTGCTTTCCCATAATAGTGCTCTAGTATAGGCTATTTTCAACAACAGCAATATGCTAATTTTCCATTGTAAAGATTATTTTTACAGAATACTTAATTTAGCAAGGAATGCAAAATGTATGCAGTCTGATATGCATTATTTAGCATTTACTGTTCAATTTGTTTATTGTTTTCTGCCTGTTTTTTAAAGAAATGATCGCTTGGACTAAGCACTATTTCTCATAACTTTACTGTTGAATTATCCATGTCCTCCATTTCACAAATGTATGTTTAGCTCTTATTGTCAAGTTTTATGATGCACTAGATGTGGCATTGCCATTCTTATTGTATTCCTGCACTCAATAGGTAGGATTATGCAGGACTATATTTAATTGAAGGGATTTTTAATATAAAAATGTATCTGCTATTTGATTATCAGAATGCATACTTTAACTTCCAAGTAATCTTAAATAGTCACTAGGAGTTAAAAATGAATTACAAAGTATCGTAGAGGCTGTATAAGCTTTGGAGTTGCAGTTTATTTTGAGATCCGTATGCTTAGTATATGTCAAACTTCAGGAATTAGATTAGCAGCTAGTTTTGATAAACTGGGGCCAGGCTAAAACAGAGGCTAACTTCCTGATCAGGGCAGAGAAATCAATGGTTATTAATGAGTTTGTAATAAATGGAAAAAATTTTGTTTAAAGTGTACTAGGAAAGAGGAGTGTAAATGAAATGTGTGTAAAATTTTCATGAATTAAATATGTTTCTGTGGTGCTTGTGAGGGATTGAACTGCATAAATTTAATTGTGCATATTGCATTTATTTTGTATCACGTATCAGTTCTTAAATCTTAAAGCTATGGAATGGCATGCTGCTGTTCAAAGATCTACACACAGTTTTTTCTAATCTTGACCTACAACTGTTCTGATATCCAACTTATCAGCCTAGATCCGCCTTAATAGAAGATAGCAAAATTGGCAATATGAGCAGATATCCACTAGGGACAAATGGAAACCATTAAACTTCTTTTACTTGTAACCTAAGCATATTAAACTTAGAACTTTGGGACTGGAGGCATTAACCTGCTAAATTGTCTTATCTTCTTCACCTACTTAGACCATATGTCTCTGAGTAATTCTACCTTTAATTTCCAACACTTGATTCTACAGTTCAAACTTTAACTTTTCTTTCTTAAGGTTCAGCGAAGTCTGGAGAAAATTGCAAAACTGGAGCAAGAAAAGGAACATTGGATGCTTGAGGCCCAGCTAGCCAAAATTAAGTTAGAAGACCAGAAACTAAGGAGCTCGTTTAGTGGACAGTTGATCGAACCTACCCCAGGAAATTCTCTTCTGCTGAATACAGCCGAACAAGAAAAGGAAGAAGCCATAGAAAAGACTTCCAGGGAGCCTGTTAATAGAATGAATGGGGTAAGTGAGATTTTTTTTTTTTCCCCTCAGATTTTTATTTCTCAGTGTGCCAGAGGAAAGATCTTTTACACTTGGAAATAGCAACTTCTTAGTAATATTGTTTGGTCAATGTTTAGTCTGCAGAAGAGTAGAGTGAGGGGGGATTTGATAGCAGCCTTCAACTTCCTGAAGGGAGGTTCCAAAGAGGATGGAGAGAGGCTGTTCTCAGTATGATGGAAGGCAGAACAAGGAGCAAAGGTCTCAAATTACAGTGGGGGAGGTCTAGGTTGGATATAGGAAAAAACTACAGTATTTCACTAGGAGGGTGGTGAAGCACTGGAATGGGTTACGTAGGGAGGTGGTGGAATCTCCATCCCTGCAGGTTTTTAAGTCTCAGCTTGACAAAGCCCTGGCTGGGTTGATTTATTTGGGATTGGTCCTGCCTTTGGCAGGGGGCTAGATTTGATTACTTCCTGAGGTCTCTTGCAGCTTTATGATTCTATGAGTAACTTTTAAAATTCTCGCTGTCAAATATTAGTAAACACCGTACATTTAGTAATGTGGTCTAATTTAATTAGCAAACTTTACTTAAAATTGCAGTTTACTGTTGCATTCTCACTAGTAGCTCATGTATGTGCAAAGCCTGGTAACCTATATCAGTTTATTTTGAATGAAAAGTTTTAATCATCTGACTGCTTTTTTAATAACTAGGTGTCAGAGTTATCTAATTGGAATAGACTGTTCTATTGTTCTGACTTCATTTTATTTTCTCCCTTGTTCTAGATTGGAATGTTGACCATGACTACTGAAAACAAAGAGGTATTTTATGATTATTCTGATACATACCAGTATAAGTCTTTATTAAATGTAATATGTATTTGACAGTGCTAAAACTTGTGCGTGATCAACTTACTGCATCAGTTATTTGGAGACCTCTGGAGTAATTTAGTACAATTGGATTGGGGGTAAGAATGAATTCTTGCAAAATAACTTTTCCCGAAGAATATCAGAAACTCATGGTTTCCTACTAATTAGTAATCCATACTTCTGTCTCCAGTTTGATCTAACTGTGAAAATAGCTTGTAGCTCTGGCTCATATATTTTATTCAACAGACTTGTTCAGATGGAATTTAACAAGATGTGAGCTGAACTCTCTAGGGATGTGAAAGGTTAACCACTTAACCAGTAAGCATCACCCTTAATGGGTGATAATCATTAGCTAAGGTTAAGAGTTAACTGATAGGGACAGGAGCAGTTCCCCACCTGCTGCAGCAACCCCTGTTCACAGTGGGCACAGGCATCCTGCAGGAAGAGGCTGCTCTGGAGTATGGAGTAGCCCCTGCAGTTGATGGGGGCCACTCCAGCCCAGCCTCAGTTCGTGGCTGGAATCCTCCTCCCCGAGGGTGTCCCCTTAAATTTAGTTGGTCAGTTAAACATAATGTTTAACCAATTAAACAGATTATACATTCCTAAAGCTCTCTTAAATGTATCAAATTCTCTGTAGCTTTAGAAAATGTAGCTCTGTATTTGTACTTCAGTGACATGAGCTGGATTATAAACCTCAGATTGATAATAAAAGGAGGGTTAAAGCAGCAAAAATTGCATAATTTAAGACTCTATCTCCTTCCTTTTCCTATTTCATTTGTCTTTTAGTTGTAGCCTGTGGAAAGTTTACCTGGATAAACTCTTCTTTACTGCTTGGCTGTGTCTAGACTGGCATGATTTTCCACAAATGCTTTTAACGGAAAGTTTTTCCGTTAAAAGTATTTGTGCTTTGGCGCAAAAGCACTTTTTGCGGAAAAGCGTCTGTGCCAATCTAGATGCGGTTTTGCGCAAGAAAGCCCCATTCGCCATTTTCGCCATTGGGGCTTTTTTGCGCAAAACAGTTTTTAGCTGTCTACACTGGCCCTCTTGCGCAAATACATTTGCGCAAGAGGGCTTTTTCCCCGAACGGGAGCATCATAGTATTTGCGCAAGAACACTGACAATCTTACATTAGATCATCAGTGTTTTTGCGCAATTTCAAGCGGCCAGTGTAGACAGCTGGCAAGTTTTCGGAAAAACTTGCCAGTCTAGACGCAGCCCTTTAGTATGCATTTTAAGTGTCCTAAAATATACTATTCTTTATTTAAACAGGTTTAGACCAAATACAACATGACTAGCAATCACACCAATTGTTATGTTGTAGTGGTTATAAAGAAATAGCATTTTTATTACAGCATGAACATTGTTCTAAGATGCAGTGTTTTCCTCTGAGATCCTGCAGAGAGCAGCTATGTTGACATTAAGGTTACTCTAAAAGGTTTTGCAAGATGAGACTGGGGTTTAAGTGCACTAAGAGCTTCTTTATAAAAGATATGATAAGCCATGTGACTTAGCAATATACAAATTATTTAAAATAAGTCATTAAAACTTATTAGCCAGCGTGGGTAGAAATGGTGTCCCTAGCTTCTGTCTGTCAGAGGCTGGGAATGGATGACAGGACAGGGATCACTTGATTTACCTGTTCTATTCATTCCCTCTGGGGCACCTGGTATTGTATACTTGTCTAAATGGACCTTTAGTTTGATCCATTATGGCTGTTCTTATGTCTCGCTGTCAAGTGTGAACCTCAAAACTTGAATTCAGGCATGTGAAAGTTGCCTTGAACTTCTCTATGGAAAATGTGACACTTTTATAAACATTTAAAATCAGATGTTTGACTAAAAACATCTGAAAATGTACATACTGTTCCGAAAATATGGCTCCTAATGTCCACCAGTTACTAATGTCATTGCTTTCTTTGCTAGCGAATTGAAGATGGTTAGAAGGGGACTGTTGGTTGTCCTCAGATTTGCATCCTTACCATAAATTCTTTAATTTAAATTGTGACTCTATTTTATATTCTGCTCTTTGTTCAACTCTACATAAAATATAATCTTGAGTTTTATCATTGTTTTTCAGTAGACTCAAGTTATTAGATATTGTGCAACACTGCTAAGACTGCTTTTATTTGATAAGCATGTCTGCTTTCAGAAGCACCAAGCTCAATCAAATTTTACATTCTTTATAAAGAGTTTATCCCATTTGGATGACCTACAACTTTTTAAATAAACAACTTATTTTTTCTAAACAGAAATTGTAAGTTATGGCTTTAGTTCTAGCAAAGACAAAATCTTTTTAATTGTTTGATCACATGTGCTCTCGCTCTTCAGGTTCCAGATGCCAAGTCCCGTGAAGAGTTGATAAAAAATTACTACATGACAAGGATAGTAGAACTTACATCTCTCCTACAGCTGTCCGACAGCAAGTCAGTACATTTTCATGCTGAGGTGAGCATCCAGTCGATTTCCTGTACTGAAAACACTAAGTCCTTTCTAAACTTCCTGTAGATCAATGTTATGAACTACAGGCACCTCCCAAAACACCATAGGTCTATCAGATAATTTGTTAATTAATTCCTTGGTTTTGAGGTCACATTTACAAAAGCCTGTACTTCCTGTGTTGCATCAATTTCTAAATTTTAAATAATTGCATATTCAACCTCGCTTGTTAATCGGTTGTGTTTGGTAAAAAGAAAGCACATTGTTTTGGCCTACATATAGGTTGGTTATTGTTATAAATCTATTTTGCTGCTGGCTTTAGCTGCAAGACTATAGAATTCACTTAGTTGTTGGCTTAATGCATGGTGAGGTAAGGGGAGCTATTGAGACTTGGGCAAGAGGGGGAGAGCAGCTGGATCCCAGGCTGGGAATAAGATTCCTACCTGAGCCTGGGATCCAGCTGCTCTCCCCCTATCCCCTCTGGGTCCCACTCCCCAACCTAGTGCCAGGCACTCTGGCAGCTGCTCCACAGCCCTATCCATGTCCTGCTATAACCACTCTAGCTCCTCTGGGTCCTGCTCTCACAAGCCTCCTCCTCCTTGTCATACACAGAGTGCCAGGTGGGAGCCAGTTAACAAGGAGAGCCAGTTGAAAAACCAGCTCCCCTTGCAGACTGGCTGCCTGCTGCCCCGTGCTGCTGCCTCTGATAGAGAGCAGCAGCGTGGTGTGGCAGCAGCCCCCATCTGCGGTGGTCCGAGCTCCACATGGACAGAGGCTGCTCCCAGGAGAGGGGAAGAGGAAGGCGAGTCTGCCAGGGACCAGGCTGGTCCCAGAAAGAAGCTGCTCCATGGGAGGTGTAGAAGCGTCTGTCCACAGAGAGCTCAGGCCCACCATGGCCTCAGGCCCACCATGGCCACAGGCACTCCCCTGGTTTCCCCTCCCTCCACTGCCTCTAATAGAGGCAGCAGCGCCAGGGGAGGGGGCAGCTTTTAAGCTGGCTCCCCCCCAGCATCAGCTCCTGCTCCTCCCTCCCTTGTTGCCTCTGATATAGAGGCAGCAAGGGGGGAGGGGGAGGAAGGAGTCAACAAGATTAACCAATTAACCGATAAGCCTAGGTTTATCATATAGTAGACTACACGTTTGACATCTCTATCAAACAAAGATAGCTTTTCCTGAGATGCATTTTTATACACAGATACAAACAAGTTGTGTTATTCCTGGTGCATCTAGATGCCATCCTCTGAGGTATCTGGGTGCTGCCCATTACCTTATACCTGTTTATTCAATCAGAACATCCTTATCGATCATGTTGTCATTCTAACCTGTTCCTGAGAATGGGTCAGTATATTCTTATCTCTGGGGAGTGTGCTGGTACTATCCTGGAATGAATTTTCATGACTTGTCCCTCTTAAGTATATGTGTTTCTGATAGACTAGCCCTGATCTGCCAGATTTTGTGAACAGAGCCTGCCTCTTCCTTGTAACTTGACTTCGCTTTATTTTAGCAAGTTTTGACTATGACTTTAGTCCAGGCCTTATACCAGGTCTCTGGTACACAGCCTTATGTTTCGGGCTCTGTTCCTACTTATAGAATTAACACAATATTTCTATTTTAAGGATGCTAGCCCTCCATGTAGTTCCACTGTTCTGAATTAACATGGGAAACTACAATTATTTCAAATTTAGCAATTTGATCATGAAGCGCTGTAACCCACCTTTCACGTAGAAATTGAAGAATGTTGTACAGTGTGGCTTGCTTTACTACTTTGCAAGCTGAGAACTGTTATCAAGTATTTGTTTAATTTCAGAATCAGATAAATGCTCCTCATTAGGATGATCAGTGTTGCCAGAAACATATGTAGAACATGGTTCATATTTGTTAGATTGCTTTGTCAGCCTTAATGTGCTCAACTGTTGTTGGCATGGCAAATAATGAGACAATGTAAAATAACCATTCTTCTGCACTGAAATTTAAACAGTACATGCATGTGCAAGGCATCTTGAGATCTCATTTTTGGGATTTTTTTCATTTTGTTTAAAGGAAATATAAAGATACTTCTGATCTCAGCTATTATTTTCTAGCAGTGGAGTCTAAAAATGTATGGTGCTCTTCTGTACAATAAATGAAGCCTGAAAGTTTAGATTTTTGTTTTATAATGGTAAACCACTGTCTTAGCCTGTGAAATTCTGTATAAAAACTTATTTCTGTAACACACTTTCTCTAAACCAAAAACTGCATTTTGAAAAGCCCATTCAGATTTTGAAAAACCCTGTCTCAAATAATTTGCTGTGTACAATGCTCTGCTGGAACTAACTTTTTTTCTCTTTTCATAGTGCCGGGCACTTGCCAAAAGATTATCATTAGCTGAAAGGTCTAAGGAATCACTGGTGGAGGAAATGAAATTAGCTACTCAAAGCATCAGTAGATTACAGGCAAGTGAAATGTTAGCTAAGCAGTTTGATGTGCTAAATGTGAAAATTTGTCATGGCATGCAGGTAGAATTGCAGAACAAACAAGTAGAATTGGGTTCAGGAAGCTGCTCCGGGTGGTGTCAACTGCGCCTCTCTTGCAGCTGGTCCGGCTGTGGAGAATAAAGAGAGACAGACAGTCAACCCAGGGGACACTGTGCCTGAAGCCCTGCCTTCCTCCAAGAGCGACAGTTCCTGGCTCAGATGAAGGCGATGTGCCTGGAGCAAGGCCATGTGCACTCTAGCCAGTGGGCCCTTACTTGCAGAGGCTCAGATGTCCCAGAGAAGCAGGGAGCCTCACTACCCTCCTCCTCCCCCTCCC